TCTGGGTGGATGACACCTAGACTAACACCAGTACAATGTCCAAGTTGTATTTTGGCAGAGATTAGACCTCTGCTCTTGCCTGCTGCTTAAAACAATAAAGGGGGAACTGTAGAGAGCCGTGCACAGCCGCGCCTCAAAGATGGCACCGGTGTCGGCGTCCGGCTTCCGCCTTCCCGATGGCAGGTGTTCTCTGGGATAAACAACTCCTTATTTGGCTTGGGCGTGGAATCTGGCTTGCTTGCGTATGTCTGACCCTATCGGCATTGTCCACGTGGCACTACGGGGTTGGTTGCCCAGTGGCTATAAAGGGCGTGGGCTGGCTTTCCCCGGAGTCAGAAGATGGCTTTCCCCGGGGTCAGAAGATTGTTCAAGGTTCCTGAATAAACTGCTTGGAGAAGAGCCTGGTGTTGCGGCTTCCTTGCTGGTCGAGGCGGACGCGACAGGGAAGAGTAACTGCTTGCCTGAATACAGTGAGCTGAGCACCAGTGGCTCTGAGCTTCTAGAACGAAGCTGTATATGTGAGCAGCTGCTTCATGTTCCTTCTCAGCCACGATTGACTGTAGACTCACAGAATGAGCCCAGATAAACCCTCCCTTCCTTAATTTGCTTTGGCCAGGTGTTTTTTGGTTGTTGTTGGTTTTTTTTTCTGCAATGAGAATAGTAACTGTTACAAGAATGGCAATTGGGGTGCATGGCTTGCTGACTTTTGAAATTGCCAATGCCACAACATTACCATGCACAAGGATCACAGTGGAGACCTGTGCAATTGAGTTAATAAATAAATAAATAAATAAATAAATAAATAAATAAATAAATATTGCTAAAATATATTTTAGAAATTTCTCAGTGTATTCATTTCTGTTGGGTAGCATTCATAACTCCCCTGGAAGGTATGAGGATATCGGGCTCTGACTTTGACATGCCTGTCCAATGTGTGGATGTTCCTTGACCGTGGTCTTGCCCCTGCTTTTGCCCCTTTTTCTTCCAGGTAAGTTTGTAGGCTTGGTGAATGAGATGATCCCACAGAGGTCATAGTGTCACTTGAAGGGTGAACCTTGTCTTCTGTCTGTAGACTCTGCTCCCTGAACAGGTGGCCTGGTTCTGGGCTTCAGTTCAAGAGTACCCACTAGTTCACTCCCAGATCTCACAGGTGCTTCTGGTGGTCTAGGTAGTGGATTAGTTTCAGATCGGTTCTGAGGAGGAGGAAGCATGCAAACTGGTCGGTTATTGTTCTAGGAGTCTTTGCTGTGCATAGTCCAGCACATTCTTGTTCCGTGACTGTTGCAAAGGGGTGGGGGTGGAAGAGTGGGTCATGAATATTTAATCATGGCAAAGCAGGAGCATATTATTTAGATAAACTACTTAATAGCAACACTAGCCCTTCCCTAGATGGGGGAGATGTTGCCTCACCAGCCCAGCTCCAGACTTATGCATGCTTTAATCTTTAAGGTTTCCTTTGAGGGGGCATGTAAGAAGGCTCCCGTCTCTCCATCAAACTGCATCTCTAATTTAAACAGCTGTTAATAAGGGTTAAATCTGCAGGCTGAGCTGGCTCTTCACTTGTTACTTGCAGGGAGGGGGGGCAGATCAATGGAGCAGGAAGCCAGAGGGGCGTCCATTTTGAAAAGGCGTAATGAATTACGTTTCCTTAGTAAAGCTGGCAACCTCCAGTCCAGCTCCCACAGCCTGCCTTTCACATACCCAAGCCCTCTGTGACACATCAAATTTAATGAGACTGCACAGATCTCAAATAAAGAAGGGGAGCAGTGTTGCTACCGCTGCCAGGGCACTTTATTAAGGAGGATCAGAGAGAGCTCTCTGGCTTTAAAAAGAGCCCTTAAAGGCGAAGGATATTTTGGCGCGAGTGGAGGGAGGTCCCCGATTGCCACGGTTCAGATCCCCTCTGGAGCATTTTAACAACCCAAGTTCAGTGTGAGCTTTGGGATCATAGCATTAGCAAACAGGTCCTCAAACCTCGGAAACGCTACAAACCAAGAGGATTGTGGTAGGTAATTAGGAAGGTTTTGATTTAAGCTCTCCCCCCCACCCTAAGACCATTAGAAGCACACAGAGAGAGGCCAGTAGCTGTCATCCATGTGATGAATCATCTTGCTAACCATATTTTCCAAATCAATAAATAAATCACTTGTTTGGCCAGTAGGGCTGCACTTAGACAGACAGTAGAGGGAACATCTTGACAAGGAGAGAATCCAGTGGGTTTGTTGTAGGTTTAGAAGACAGCGCATTATCTGGATACCAAGAGACTTTATTTCATGTGTCATACTTGTTATTAATTCACAAAGCTTCTGTGAGAAAGTACTATAACCCGGGTCTTCAATGGACTTGTTTATACTGTGAGAAGGCTGAGGGTACGCTATGAGTAGACATTGAAATTTAGAGTAGAGTTCTGGCCAGTCTTGGAGAACAAAGAAGATGACAGTGACGCGTGATGGGCCAAGCCAAGAAAGTTTGTGACAGGCATGCACAGCCCCAGAGAAAAGATTGTCATTTTCTGGTTTCCAGAACTCTAGATATTATATTCAAAGTCCTCCTCTGTCCCTCCTAATACTAAATGTTAAAATTTTTTTCTTTTCAACTCTGTGTCATAAAAAAGGTAAAATAAAACAAAACAAAAGATTGTTGAGCTTTACATTACTATCTGTGGTCATTTGTCAGATGTGGACTGAGTTGTCTATGGTCTTGACATTGACATGGGCATACTAAGAGCCCAGAGTGGGGCCAAGACATAACGGATTTTGATCAGCACTTTGTCATGTCTAACTGTGTGACCTTGAAAACAATAATTAATTACCAATATCTAGCACATAGTAGGAGCAGTATTAATGCCCACGGAAACATTGGCATACTCTGTGCTGGACTGTGGTTATTATGACTTCACAGACGGGGACTCACAGCATAGCAATGAGCTTGGGGTCATCATGTTAGTGAGAAGTAGAACTGGGCATCCACATCAGTTCTTCCTCCTAATCACAATTTTCAAGTTCCAATCCTCATCTTCTTAAAAGCCTTGTTTGGGGCTAGAGAGGGGGCTCAGCAGTTAAAGAACACTTGCTTCTCTTTCAGAGGATTGGAATTTGGCTCCCAGCATCCACGCTGAGTGGCTCATTAGCACCTGTATGTAACTCTAGCTCCAGGGACTCTGATGCCCTCTTCTGGTGTCTGATGGCACCTGCACATGTGTGTGCATACACATACAGATAAACACACAGACATATAAATAAAAACAAAAAAAATCTAAAAACATAAACACACAAGTAAGCATTCTTTGCACTTTAGTGAAGCGAAATCAATCACAGTTGTTGATGTAGGAACTTTTACTCTGTCCTCTTCCTCCATCTTGGTGCACTCAGCTTCTCTGTGACCAGCCTTCCAGCCCCATCTTTTAGTCTGTTAGGTTTGCATTAGAGTTCCTGGTTCAGTTTCATTCCCTAGTCACATGGGCTCCTCTTCAAAGCCATTGCATCTTTTCCTCCAGATTCCATTTTGAGAACTACTTTGGTCGTTGTCCTCTGCCCATTGATTGGGAAAACAGGAAGCTGAGCAGTGAAAGGGCTGGGTGCAGGCCCGGGGTTTCTAATTGGGAATAAAAGGGAACTAAGCCATCAGGTAGGTTTATATCACTTCGAATCCCAGAGGCCCAGAGAGAAAAACAGCTCAAAAGAAGCATGACAAAGAGAGTTCATGGGGATGTGTAGAAAAAGGCTCTAGAGGACAGGTCAGTGAAGCCAGCACATGCAACATTTTAACATGACGACCTTATTACCAGAGTGCTTGAGGGAGAACACTGAAGTGATCCTCTTAGGTCTTTGCGGACAATATCTTATTTTCTTGAGAATTAACACGGCTTCTTTATCCAGAAAAGTTCCCAGAAGTCCTGCCAAAGGGATGAAGTCAGCTCTTGTGTCCATTCAACACCTCTGGCTCTCTGTGTCAGCTCATAGTCTGCTTGCATCTTAGGTTGATAAAGTAGAGACAACTCACACTGTGAGTTTGCAATTTACTTGTTTAAAATCAGGTTTGCTTTGTCTTGGTGCTGCATCACATCTCTCTGCTGGCTCCCACCTCTTTGTTTTAGAGTTTCCAACCCGTTAGGACTTGTCTCCTATGCCCTGCCTCTTCTGGCTCTTGCAACCAGTACATTTTTATCTTCCTCGTCAACCTGACAGGATTTAGAAATGCCAGGAAAACACAACTCTGGGTTTGTTTTTGAGGGTATTACCAGAACATAGTAACAAAAGCGGAAGACCCACCCTAGTGGACAGCATCATCTCATGAGCTGGGTTCCTGAATGGCACAAAAAGAAAAAAAGGAAACAGTGACCCACATTCATCTCTCTTTGCTTCCTGACTGTGGGTGTTGTAGTGCACCCACTGTCTACCCTGGTAGGGTAGACTACATGCCTTCAGACGTAACCCGTTTGCCATTAAGTTCCTTTTTCTTGGGTATATTGTCACACAAAGAGAAAAACAAGGGAGATGCTATAAAGCATAGTAACCAGCACTAGGCACACAAACTGTTTCCTCAGAGGAGCCTTCCTTAGTATAACTTGGTGTTCCCAGCGGTACCCTTCATTTGATCACTGGTCCTCTGGTCTCAGCATTCAGATCTTGCAGTCAGTAGTCTGACAGTGGATGGAAGCAGACTTAATCAGCTTAGGACTATAACACTCTGTATTAAGGGTAAGACCAAAGCAGTTAACCATAGTGGATTTTGCAAGAGGAGCCCTCATCTATTTACAGAGTTAGGTGTAGAGCTGCTTCTGAGGTACAGTTAGAGACACACAGAAATCTGAGCTGCCCTTCAGCAATATCCCAGCAGCTATCAGCAAATTCGTACCACATGGAGTCCACAACAGCAGTATCACTACTCAACTTAAGGGTATCTGGCTAGGTTTTCTCTGGTTATGGTGCTGGCTAGTTTTCACCAGCTTGACATGGCTAGAATCACCTGGGAAGAGGGAGCCCCAGCTGAGGAATTACCTCCATCAGATTGCCGTGTGGGCGTGTCTATCTGTGGCCCATTTTCTTGATTCATGGTTGATGTGGAAGAGTCCAGATCATTGTGTGGGTGGTGCTACCCTGGAACAGGTGGTCCTGGGTTGTGTAAGAAATCAAGATGAGGAAGACTTGGTGAACAAATCAGTCAGCAGCATTCCTCCATGGTCTCTGCTTCATTTCTGGCTTTCCCCCTAAGTTCCCTTAGAGATGGATTGTGGCCTGGGCAGTGTGAGATGAAACAAACCCTCTCTTCTCTAAGTTGCTTTTGGTGAGGGTTTTATCACAGCAATAGAAAGCAGACTGATTTGAATTAGGCCAACTGCTAACATAGAACCAATGGGCTGTGGCCTAGAAAAACAGGACACCCAGCATTTGCTCATCTCGGTGGCTTCTGCACAGGTACCGTACCCCTCACACACCTCCTTTCTCATACTCAGGTACATTATTTGGTCCCCAGATAGAGGATGGGAATATTTGTGTCTCTCTTTCATAATAATAGCTGTTGGTCCAGCTATGGTACTGAGATCTGAGGTGGAACACTGTAGACTTCCTTCACCGTTGGCTTCTTATGTAACCATCATCACTGTCTAAGCTGGGGATGCTTTGTGATTCTCTGAATTCGAAGGGACATTCCCCAGTGTTAATCAAGTGTCCACTGTGCAGTGCTGGGAATATATGCTGTGTGGTAGACAGAAGGGTAGGGAAGACAATGTTCTTTATTCTTCCAAGGTCCTAGCAAACACAGACACTCTCCTGTAAACTGTTAACGCGGGCAGCACTCCCTTTGTGGGGTTATTGGGAGGAGGGTGTGGGGTCAGCCTGTCACACTTGCCTAGCATGTGTGAGGCCCCGGGTTCAATACCCAACACTGAAAGAAAAGACAGGAAGAAAGAAGACAGGAAGGCAGGCAGGCCGGCAAACAAGCAGAGATGATTGGGGTGGGAGGGAGGAAGAGAAGCAGGGAGGAAAGGAACGGAAGCCAGGCAACAAGGTATTTGAGTGACATGGAACACAAACCAGAGAAAGGGAAGTTGAAGGTTCACAGTCTAAGAAGAGAATGAAAAAGAGTATTGCCAAGAGGTTAGAAGGACAGAGAAGCCAAGGACAGCTGGCTAGGGGTCTGCTGGGGGAAGCAGGATTGAGTTCAGGCATTTCAATCTGCAGCTCCAGGTGAACGCAAATAAATCATTTGCAAACTAGCTGTGGTGCAGATCAGTGTGTCAGACAGTCCTCCCTCCCATCCCCTGGGTCCCACCTGACCCTTCTCCAAGCAGGGCAGGGAAGGAATGTCGGTGGAATCTGCTAAGGCTGGGGCCCTTCCAGGGGAAACAGAACACAGAGCTGTGCAGGGAAGGGCTGGGAAGAAGCTTAGGGAGACACAGGATAGCAAAGCAAGGAAACATGACCACCACAGTTCTGGGATCTGGACCTGGCCGCCAACTCAGATGGTTTTATTGTGCTCCCTTGGAGTTCCTCTCCTTTCCTACACATACACTTCCGCCTTTTAATTTGACATACTCTCTGTGTCTCTACAGGTGGGGTAGAGTGTGAAGTGGGGAAGAACAGCCTGAGTCCCGAGGAATAACCCAGGACTTGACCTCAGTTGGCTGGAATTATTTTGGAATGATTCCAGATTCTAAAAGGGCTTTGGTGAGATTCATCGTGGAGGGCCCCATGACTTTGCCAGAAAAGGCTCTTTATCTTTCTCTTCCCTTGCACCTGGGTCTCCCTTTTGAAGAAGTAAATCTGAGGGGAAACAGTTCCAAAGATTTTGTTTCTATAAAGAATTAAAGAAGTGGCCTGATCCTTACAGCATCTATCGACAGGAGGGTTGTATCATGAGATTCTAGTCAGTCATGACTGGAAAGATTGTTTAACTAATAAAGTAACTGCCAGTTAAGCATGAGGACCTGAGTTCAGATCCTCCACACCCGTGTGGAAAAGCCAGGTGCATTGGTGCATGTCTGTAATCCTAGCACTGAGGAGGTAGAGACAAGAAGATCCATGGGGCTCTCTGGCCTCCCAGCCTAGCCAAATCAGCGTCTACCAGGTTCACTGAGAGACTCTCCCTCCAAAAAGGGATGCACACACCAACAATGGCATGTGCACTTCATATACATGCACATGAGTGCACGAGTAGACGTACACGTGTGTGTGTGCGCAAGCGCGCGCGAGTGCATGTGCGCGTGCGGGGTGGGGGGGGGGAGAGAGAGAGAGAGAGAGAGAGAGAGAGAGAGAGAGAGAGAGAACAAGAAATAAGAAACAAGAGTGTTGCCCTAACCCTGTAGTCCTAGCAGTCCTGGTGGAAGCTGGAAGGTTGAAAGTTAGGGAGCTCAGTGTCCTCCTGGATCATACACATAGTAAGTTCATGACTAGCCTATTTTACATGAAACCCTGTCTCAACAAAACAAAACAAGGGAGACTAGGAAGTAAGAGTGGGGTTCAGAAGGGGAATAGCAAAAAGAGGAAAGGAGAAACAGAAAGGCAGAAAGAAGAGTGGGGCATAGGTACATGTTGATGAGAGCCTCTGCCTTAAAGGGAAAGCTCCAGCGTGGAGTGGAGCTCCACTCGGTGGCTTGCATGACTTCTAACTTGATTAGTATCTTGAACTCTATCAGTTTACCTAATAAAAACCTGAAAGTCATCTTCCAAGCTGTTTCCACGAGGAAAAGCCCTTTAAATTCCTTTCTTCTCTTACATGGTCTAGAACTATGCACTTAGGACACACGTGACTGCTACTGGGAAATACCCTGAGGCATGCCTTATATATGCATGTATATGACTACAGGTGCATGTGTACCCCTGGGTAATTTTCTCTGTAAATTTCTGAACCCGCAGATGGTCACACCATGCAAACATCAATGAGTGTACCAGATGAAAATGACTGGAACTCCCCAGGGAAAATGCCTTTACAGTATTCTAACTTGCCCAACAGTACTACATGAAGATGGAAGGGGGGAAGGAAGGTAGGAGAAAATCTCCCAGTCATGGGGTGAGCACCAACCATGTGGAACGGAGTGGGCCAGGAACCCTTTTATATTTAATCTTACAATTCGTTTAGTTTAATCCCTGCTTTTAGAATAGTGTTTCAACACACTGAGACAATCCCTTCTGGTAAAGTGTCTTAGAGAGAGGCCATTTCTATTTGAAAAGCCAGCTGTGAGGAGCTGGAAGGCACACAGCTGCAGACAGCTGGGGGGCTGGTACTGAAACAGGATCTTGGGAGAAGTGAACTTCAGTTTGCTGGCCCCAAGGCTGTCTGTGAGGAGATGTGTCAGCACAGAGACTCGGCTCCTATGCTTGCTTGGCCAGGGCTTCCTTCTTCTCAGACACTGGATGGAACTCAACCGAGAGGCACCAGAACACTTAAGGATCAGAACGGGATAACTAACCCCTTTTTATAAGTCACACACAGACACAGACACACAGACACTCACACAGATACACACACACACACACACACACACATACAGATACGCACACAGAAAGAGACAGATACACAGCAGACATTCACACAGACACACTGACTCCCCCCACCCACACACACATATACACACATCCCCTTAACTCCCTTTGATTCGGAGAGTAGATTCTCTCACAACCTAGCAGTTGCCACTTAGGAACTCCAGCAGGAAAAGATTAAAATGCATTAAGGCCAAAGCAGTTTGCAAGAGAGCATTTGACAGAGCTAAAGGTAGCCCTGTCACAATGGATAGTCAAGCATCCCTAAATTGCATTTACATGTTCACTAGAGAAAACCAGGGTCCTTTTGAAAACATGATTGTCCCTCTCGGGAATCCCCTCATCATTACTCTAAAAGATAGCATAACACAAATAATGCTTCTCAGTGTGACGCTCTCAGCCTTTGCTTTGGACTCCTATTGTCACTGGGAGAGTGTGGGGGTATTGTGTTCCCCAAAATATTGTGCACACTAATAAACTTATCTGGGGTCAGAGAAGAGAACAGCCACAATATTAAACATAGAGGATAGGCAGTGGTAGCACACACCTTTAATCCTAGCATTCCAGAGGCAGAAATCCCAGGGAGTGATGGCAGAAAGCAGAAAGATATATAAGGTGTGAGGACCAGAAATTAGAATCATTTGGCTGGTAAGCTTTCAGGCTTTTGAGCAACAGTTCAGCTGAGATCCACTTGGACGAGGACTCAGAGGCTTCCAGTCTGAAGAAACAGGATCAGCTGAGGAACTGGTGAGGTGAGGTAGCTGAGCCTTGTTCTGCTTCTCTGATCTTCCAGCATTTACCCCAATAACTGGCCTCAGGTTTGATTTTATCAGTAAGACTCTTTAAGATTCGTGCTACAGGAGAGCTCCTTACTCTCCAGTCTGTACCTGGGGTGTGCAGTCTCCTCCTCTTGTCATTTGGGATGTGTCCTGAGAAGCCGCAACGCCTGTCATGCTCATCGTGCAAATGTGGCCGTGCTGGAGTCCACAAACGATGTCAGTTACAGGGTCAGGGGACTCAAGCTATAGACCAGAAATGCATGTGGGAGTCAGGGGCTTGAAGAAGCAGCAGGGAGTAAAACAGAAGGCTTGTAAGATGGGAGACACACAGAAGGGTTCTGACCGTAAGAGAAAGAGCAAGACTAAGAACACGTCTTCTTCATAGCTGACCACATGGCCAGCTCTGAGTGTCTTGCCTATCTTCTGTGGCAAGGGAAACAGCCTGCTGCCTAGGAAGCAGGGGTTGCTAATGCTTCCCATTTGTGTGATATGTGCAGTTTGTAACCTTGCTGCATAAATATGAACTTTACAAAGTGTATCAGCCACTTACATTGTTGCTATGACAAAGTGCGACTTAAAGACTTGAAGTTCCAGAGGGTGTAGTCCATCGTGGTAGGGACTTGCTTGTTCTGTGGCAGTAGAAAAATGCAATGCTGTCCACATGGTGTGAATCAGGAAGAAACACACACACACACACACACACACACACACACACACACACACCAGTCTGGAACCAAAGGTAGGTATAATGTTCAAAGGCCAGCCAGTAGTGATCTGCTTCTACAGCCAAGCCCCACGCAAAGAGAAATTTAAAATTTTCTATTATATGTATTTGTTTATTTTTGAGTGTGTGTG